TTATATTTGTAGAAAACGATATTGGTATCATTCGACGTCATCAGCTTGTATACAAGTATCCCACATGATCTTGGACTCACAGTAATCGAACATTGGTTGGACAAACACCGTGAATCATTGCCACGACCGTTCCCTAAAGAATTTATTTTGGAGGCCATCTCAATTGTCCTAAAGGAGAATACATTTCAATTTGATGACATTAATTATAAACAAATACAAGGAACAGCAATGGGCACTAAAATGGCCCCAACGTACGCCACATTAACTATGGGTTTCATTGAAACACAACTGTACGAAAAGTTCATGTAAAAATATGGACAGCACGAAAAAGAAAACTTCGTGAAATTGTTTAAACGTTTCTTAGACGACTGCTTCATACCCTGGCAGAAGACAGAAGCAGAATTCGAGGAACTTCATAAAATGTTAAATTCACTTCATCCAAAAATACAGTTCACGATGGAATATGACAATAAGAAACTACCGTTTTTGGATATACTACTCTACAAGAACGCGGAACGGTTAGAAAGTGATATACATTACAAACAAATGGACACACACCAATATCTGGATTATCATTCATGTCATCCTGGACATACAAAATCAAACATTCCCTACACACTGGCAAGACGGATCTGTGCAATTGTAACAAATCAAGATTTAAAGAAGAAGCGTCTTGATGAACTAGGATATTTCCTACAAAAGCAGAACTATCCGAAATTGCTTATAAAAAACGGAATACGGAAGGCTTCTTCAAAGAACATTGAGGAATTGAGGGCACCAAAACATAAAACTGATGACAATGTCTTGCCTTTAGTAATAACTCATAATCCCAACAATCCTCAAGTAATTGGAAAAATAAGGGAGAACTTTAAATTTCTAAACAATTCCGAGAAAATGAAACGAGTATTAGACAAAACAAAACTCATTGTAAGCAAACGTCAACCGAAGAACTTGAAGCGATTCTTGACAAAAGCACAATTCAATTCAGAGGACAGAGAACACTCTGTAACAAAATGCGAGGAAAAGCGATGTGGAACATGCGATGTTTTAATCACAGGAAAGTCTATTACATTAAAGAGCGGAAAAACCTGGAAAGTCAATTCGACGATGAACTGCAAAGCGAGATATGTTATTTACGTGATCGTTTGCTCAAAATGCGACAGCTTCTACGTCGGCCAGACAGAAAACTTACGAAAAAGAGTGACATTGCACAAGGAACAAATTCGACACGAAGAGTATAGACACCTAAAAGTAAGCGAACACTCAAATATGTGTAACAACGGAATTTTCAAAATAATGCCTATATATCAATGCATTAACACGGACAGACTTTTTAGGGAGATGAAATAAAAAGAACTTATCAGTATACTGAATCCGGATCTGAACGCTAATTAAAAAACCATTAAGTTTATGCTTACATTTAAATCAATAGAATGTTTTTAACGGGTGACTTCACATTATGTAAATATATGCATTCCTAACATAGTTATTATAATATGATATCATAGAACGTAGTTAATAGATAAACTAACTAAATTCCACTCATTGTAAATATGCACCTGAGGAGCTAACATTAAAGCGAAAACGTTTGTGCAAAATTTGAGTGGCTTTTATTTTATTTTACGTTATAAATGTCTCTTTTGGTTGCACATTGAAACCTTTTCTATAAATTATATATATATATATATATATATATATATATATATATATATATATATATATATATATATATATATATATATATAGTGTTTTAATTTTACCTACATACCGCCCATAAATATTTTTAAAGAATTGAACATTGAATCTGAATTGAACTTTTTCCAGTTTCTTTTAAAATTCCCTATGATTTTACAGCTAGAGGGTCGATTATCAATTGGAATTCAGTTTTCGTTTTCTTCTCCGATCGCAACATTTAATAATATAATTAATTGTTATTATTATTATATTTCAATTTTAAATTCAAATTCGGTTGAATTTAATAACCAACGGAATTAAGCGTGTCCCACAAACCAACTTTTTTTATAACGTTAAAAAGTTTAAAAGGCCAATGAGCTTTGACGGATTTACTATTCAATTGGGTTATAGACGAACAAATAAATAAAATCAAAAATAGGTAAAAATCACGAGAATTCGTAAATTATAAAACCTTTTTACGAAAAAACAGAAAGGTTTGTCGGAGTGTTATATATATAACAACCAGACATACTGACTACAGCGCGATGTCTGGAGCATGCCCAAAACTGAGTGCACCACAAGCGTAAAATTCGAAGGCTTGTGATTCCGAGCCAGAGGAGGTCGGACAAGCAGGCCGCAAAGCATCATGGGTTTGAGCGCCTAATTCCAGGCGTGGCTTCAATGACTCTTTGACTGTCGTGGAGTAAACAAATATGGAAGCATTCGAAAGACAAGATTGTCAGGCTGCAATACTTCGTGAAAATAGCATGTTATTGCTGTATTGTTGTGATCCTCGTTATGACTTGTGAGTTACTATACCAAGTTTACCTTATATTAAATTGCATGGGACGTGCTGTCTTTTGGTAGCTTTTTAAATAATCGGCGAAGGAATTGTGTTTATATTGTCAATAGCAAGGCTCTTCTTTCTAAGTTGGATGGAATGTCCGTGTATCATCAACGTGAAAACAAGCGCAGTATTTAAGGTTGGTATCCTACAATGCAATACAGTTGACTTGTTTCAAATTTCCGCTTTGCTGTTTTCAATATTGTACTGTAATTTTATAAATACACTGTACAAATTATGGCGTAATATTTCAAATATTAAATTCAACCCTTTAGTTTGACCCTATTCCTGATGAGTTTACTAATGAAAACATCCAGCATATGCTTTTGGATTTCGATGTGGATCATATCAGTTGACAGCGAATACAATTGATGATGGACATTGGTTTCCAGATAAGTCTGAAGGTATTGTTATTTGTATGTATTTTATAAATTTTTGCTGAGTATGATGCCTGCTTGTATCTAGTTGTGGATGGTTGTTTAAATGTGCAAACTGTATTTTAATATTTTTAAATTTTCATCTAAATATTGTTTGTGCGTTGTTCTAATACACAGACCTAACACAGTTAGGTATATTAAGAATTTAGAGGTTACATGTGCTTTTGTGTAAGATTGCTACTTTTAGAGACGATAGTGCATGAAAGAATAATTTTCTCGTTACGATTTTGTAGAAAGAGATTTACTTGAGTTGTTGGCTGGTCTTGAGCCTGTTCATGATGGATATGATATTGAAAGAGGTGATCAAGGTGATAGGACAGAAAGTGATGACAAGTTCAGTGATGAGGAGGAAGAAATCACCCCGGCTGTACCATTCAAGTGCATCTGTGCTGCTCATGAGAACCACTACCAACATCATTTGGAAAAGGCATACCTCCCTCTTCATGAACAAGATAAACCAGTGAATGTAAGAATACTGCCAGAGCCATTGAATCCAAGGGACACAAGTGCAATAGCAATTGATCTAGACTATGGAACTGGATGGCCCCATGTTGGTTATATATTGCTTCTAAACTATGAAAGTATCTGCACCCATTAATTGCTGCAGGAGATGTCGTGGATGTCTATGTTCAGCATATCAAGTATAGGGTTGACTTTTTTAAAATAGGATTTTATCCAAAAAATTTCATAGAGACATGATTAGTGCATGGGAGACTCAAATGGTAGGAAAAGCATGAGTGTACGTTGACAGATGTTTTTTATGTAAATAATAGCAACTAACTATGTTTTTCAAGTTATTGAAGTGCATTTATTTCAATTGGCTAACTTTTTACATTTTTGCAGCATTTTTTAAATAAACCACAGGTTATAAATGATAACTTTCTATATCTAATTAAAACAATCTGTCATGTACACTGATGCAAAATAAATACATCACTGTAAAAATGTGCTTTAGTAAATAAATGAGTAATTTATTCATGCACTTGACCTACTTTGTTTGTAATTTTTTCAGATTAAAATTAATGCAACAATAAAACAAGAAGATGTCTATTTATATAATGCACAAATCAATTCCTGGAGTAACCATCCCCCCCCCCGGAATTTGCCTGATAGACAGTTCACAGGCGTCGGGAATTTGCCTGTCATATATGTGCATGGGGGCCGGGTATTGTTATAGTCGCTGTGTTATAGTGTTCACTTTTGCAAAACTTATTACCTGTGCCATGCGAATAAAGTTTTATAATATTCCATAGCAGCTTAATAGCATGTTATTAAATGACTATGCCCATGATATGCATTCATCGTCCCCGGCGTGGGGCCTTTTTCTACTCTCAGCTTGCCCAAGGGACCCGTGCATTAGTCTCCTAGTTGTGTCCCGGCACACTTCTTCTATTAACTGTGCACTATTGTAACCAGTCAAATCAAATGCCCAGGTGTGTTCGGGGGGGGGGGGG